TTTTCCTATAAGAACAAAGAAAAACGCACGAAAATTATACTTCTATCCTCATCTTGGACAAGTTGGACTCATTCTCTAAAATATACTGAATATCGCACAATAATCGTTAATTAGCACAGCATTTGAATTCTCAGACAAAACAATTATTATTGTAGATAGGTACAATAAGTACATTAAACAATATTGTCTATTGACCAAGGACCAAGGTTATTAGTAAATAACGAAATATATTTTTTGAATAAAATTATATTTGATAAAATTACTTGATACTCTCAAATTACAAACACTTAAATCATGTAAAATAATAATAATAATATATTTTGGCCAAATCAGTATACAGTATTTTTTTTTTTTTTACAAAATATATACCGGTGACTAGTAACTATGATCCAGTCAATAACTTAGAAGAAATTATACTTTTTTTATATTTTAAAGTTATTAGCTGGGACAAATTTAATATATTTTTAAAAAAATGTAACCTCATCCCTTATATGTTAAAATCGTATGAACTTAAGTTTTTCAAATGGTAACTTATATATTCTATTAACTTTTTAAATTAATTATAATTTGCTGAATAATTTGACTGGTCGATAAACAGTTATCATTCATATTTAAAAAAAAAATGATTATTTTAAGTGGAATAACCAAATCAACAAGCACATAGGTACTGTAAGAACCCTAGGGTCAAGGTGTAGGTACCCATAGGTGTGTGTTGTGTGAAAAAAAATGCCACACTACTAAACTGTTAAGAAATGACCATATTATAATGGGTAGGTATAAGTACATCAATAAAAAATATCAAAGCGGTGTACCTTTAGGCTTTATAGTCGATAATTTAACACGTATACCGATGTACCTACCTTTCAGTAATATCATACTACGTCTATGCTTATTATAGATTTGCAGGTAAATTCAGAGGGTACAAAACAAGTTTATAGGGACTGAGGCGAACTACGAGAAACCACAAAACTCTTCGCCTAATTACATTATAATACACAAAACAGATTATAAAAAACCTACTTCCACTTATATTTCAGAATTTTCTAAGCAGTATTTGAAATTCAATAACCATGAAAAATCTCCGATGAAAAAATCTCTGAAAAAAAGTATCCGATAAAGTCCGATGGTCTATAAATTATATTATTTACCTACTTGCAAGGCGAATGGCGACGACAGTTTACTATAAACTGTACATTTTAAATGAGTTGCTGGTACATCTTTTTTAATATTTCTAACCTTAAAATTAAGGGTTGACAATAGTCCTGTAACTCGTGCTATGGAAAAGGCCGATTTATAGTTATTGATCGATGGTTTTGACACAGGCATTTGAGCGATACAGTAAGTTACTATTGTAGTACAGCTATTGTGCTATGTGAAATGTGAATCATTTAGGGTTGATGTCGAACCGTTTTTTTTAGAGCTGCAGGAGGTAGGTATAACTATAAGTTTGAATATAATATCTATAGTGTTTGAAATTGTTTAATGAAATATAAAATTTTGAAGTATCAGTGAAATATTTCAATATTTGTATTGTTATTATTTTTTTTTTTTTGTCTTGTCAAATAATTAAATATTACACTGGCATATTGTTTTTCTCATTTTTAATTTATAATATGTTATATTATATAAAACTTGTATTTAGACAATACGAAAAATTTTAATAATTTATTTCAGCTTGTACACGTAGTATAATGAGGCAAAATATAAAATGTCATTATCCTGTATCAAGTAGGTACATCCACTCAAAGCATTTAAAACAAACAGTTTAAAAACAGTCCAAACCTAAATATTATTAGATAATCGTAAATAATAATTAGTTTAATTCTTTGTTTTTATTGTTAAAACTTTTTTTTTACATTTTTATATGGTTCTAGTATTTACAGACATTATAGATTCGCATTTGATGTCTATGCTCGATTCTTACTTCGCACACACAGGAAAGAGTACAAAAATTGGAGAAGAACACGTGTGTAAACAAATCAACGTTACATTAAACACAGGCACGTAGCCAGTGGGGAGGCCATCGGTTCCGCCCCGTGGATTTTTTTAAAAAATACCTGCCCATAAAGGACTAGGTATCAGTCGATGAAAATGCAATGGGCCATTTGTTTTTATAGTGAAAGATAAAAAATGTATACGATTATCTGGTACAAAATATATTATGTCTCACGAGACATCTTTTATTTTAATCAATGCAATCTTTGCTGATGAAACCGGCGGCGAAGACAGATTTTGCCATCTGACTCCATCAATCGCACTAGACTTATTATCTAGGTAGTCTACAGTCTTATAACTTCAAAAGTAACTATGATATCTGACAAAAAAATTGAAAAAAGTTAATTTTAACAAAGCTATTTCATTTTGAAATATATGCCTATAATACCTTCTTTGAAAGTCGATTGGATTTTTTTTTTGTGAGGTGGAGCTTAAGTTCTTAAAGAGCATGGTAAATATTATTCGGACACATAGTTATCAAAGCCAACAAGATATTGAAAAAATTCTAAGTTGAAGTTCTTAAGTTAAATCCTAAGCGTGGCGATTTTCTTGGCACTTTCCCACAGGAAACGTTCTTCGGCCGACGGACTGTAAGCGTACATTTTGCCGTTGGCCGTGACCACAGCGTTGGGAGGAACCATGGCCAGGTACTTTCTCACGTCCTTGGCGTACGTCTCGGGTTCCTTGACACCGCAGCAGAACAGTTCGTGACAAAACCCGAACGCGGCCCACAAGACGGCCACGGACCCGCCGACGAGCAGCGTCCAGAAACGCGCCAACCGCTTTAACCGTTCGCGGACAACGCTCAATTCCGGTTCGGCCAATTCCGGGTTGCGGTACCGACTCCATAAGCACCGCGCGCCGTGCCAGCCCATGTTTACCACGTACTCGTCGATCCGACGGCCCTTTTTTTGGCCGCAGAACGTTGCCGCTATGTCGCCACTGACTTTCGACGCAGCAGTAGCGTTGCCGACCGCGCTGACATTAAGGCGACCCGCAGAGCCCCAGTCTCTTTTTTTGGACGATAGAAATAATTTATCTTCTTCCGGTGCGGACCGACGGCCGTCGTTCGCGGAGTGCACCGGAAGTCCGGCTGGCGACACGGTGTTCTGGTTGTGGCTGCTGCTGACGTCCGACCACAGAGGCTTTTTCGTCGACGTCCGCCCATTCTGCTGGCGTTGCCGGTCGCGCAACGAACTCAGCTTTGCGTAGAAAACGGCCATTTTTTCTGCCGGCACGTCGTACCCGCCGTCACGGTACGCACCGTTGTCGTCGCCGTCCGGCCAGTTGAACATGAGGCCGCCGTCGTCTTCGCCGACCGAGCAATGTGTCAGACGCAACACCGAACACACCGCCAACGTTGCAACATGAATGCTGCGACGACAATGTCGTCCGGTCATTCTTGTATATTGCGCAGAGAAAATGTTTTTAACACAAATTTTACACGTTTGTAAGTCAATATGTTTACTTTTGATTTTTGTCTCGATGACGTCATTTATAATGTTATAATATAAATAGTTTATATGTTTTAGCTTGTTTAATAAATAAATAAATTAACGGTGTATCAGTTAACTTGATACACTCTGTATAGGCTATTATTTTTAACCGTTTCCCAGTATTAATTACGAGTTTATAATATTGATGAGTTGCCATGTCGATTAATAGAATAGGATTCATGATCATGCAGGAGTCATTATTCTAAGACTAGAGTATCCCCCTATTAAATCTCTGCGTGGGCTGTTATTTTAAAAACCAGCTCGTCAAAATTGTTCATCTATTCTGTAAACATTTCTATTTTCTTATCAAATCCAGCCCGTCAAACCCAGCGCATATCGTTGCCTGTAACGCAATTACCAACAGATGTATAAAATAATAATAGTACTTATAACATTGGCGGAGATCAGGAGGAGGCGGGGGCTTGGGATTAAAAAAACTATAAAACTTAAAATTAGTGCTATATTTATTATTATTTTAACAAATATCTCATTAAAAAATAAATGTAGGGATTTTGAAAAGCTCTAGTTTTAAGTTTTTTAGTATTCCAAGCCCCCCCCCCCCCAATGACCTATTATAATATAATAGTGTTAATTTTAGTACTCATTGCATATGGGTAGAGTAGATAAAACCATGTGTACTTAATTGGCACAAACACTTATAAATTTCACCCTTTTCCTTCAAAATCAAGAAAAATACCAAACACATTTGAATATTTTTAAACTTAAAATTACAAACTAAATAAATATCATAGATCCTTCCCTAGAAGGGGTAAAATTATTCATCTGGACCTGTGACCTCTCCGGTCCCCACTATACTAGCTTTTTAAATATTTTTCCTTAATCTAAATAAAACATTAATTGAAGAATACTCAACTTGGTAAACAGAGTTGTCGATTTAACGTAAGACATTATTGTTCTCTTAAAATAATTGTAATTTTGTTTATAAATACTTTTTCAGGATGTAATTTTACTATTGTAAATAACGTTCAAGTATATGCTTTATTAGTACATTTTCTGACCTCTTATTACCTTTTGAAAATTAAATAGTGATGTAACTACGTAACGTCAAGCACTTTATTATTCAATAACTTATTATAGTTATACCTATACTTACCTATATTACTTAGGAATAGTCTGGCAACAGAAAGTATACAGCCATAGTCGAGATAATGTTATGATAAGTTATGACTTATGATCCGTTGTTGGTACAATAAACTTTATTCATCGACGAACATAGTTTTGGTTCGCGACATCAGTTAACCAAGGGAAAATAAAGCAATTTATTGCAAATTTAATTAAAAAAATATTCAGACTAGTTTGTAAAAAAAAAAAAATTGTATTTGATTACATTATGTTATATATTTTAAATTATGTATAGGCGTGATTAAAATTAATCTCACACTGAAAAACATTTTATATAAAAGTAAAAAATCAATAACATTAAATATTACATTTCATTAGATGTTAACAAGTTACTTAATACTTTGTACACATTTAAATAGACTATAATATTATTAATATTATAATGTTCACATACATAATAGATTTTGTTGTAAGATATTATAAAGTTTTTTGTTTTTATTAAATTTCTTTAGTTGAGATTACACATACGTTTTTTCTTTTTTATTATATTTTTAAACTTTTTAAAAAACAATTTTTTTAGTTGAGATTTTGTAAAAATATTTATTTCATCTAGTTCAAAAAATTGTTTTAATTTATTATTTAATGGTTCTACTTTAATCCAATCAACTTTAGATAGTAAATTTTCTATGTAACATAATTTGAGGGCTTGAGCCATGCCCTTCTTTTGGCTTATTGCGTCCGATTTAATATCGTAGTCCATTAAAAGTTGGTCGTCTTCTATTATAGTGTTAACAATTTTGGTTGATTTCATGCGTTTTTGAGTTATATATTGTTGATTTCTTTTTCTTCCTTCGGTTATGTTTATGGTTTTGGAAATTTTACCTGCAAAAAAATGAAACTAATAAATAATAATGTAATTATATATTTGGAAATAAATTAGCATAGGACAGAAAGATATTTGGATAGAGTATAGACCATTATAAGGAATATTTTGAAGCAAAAGAAGCTTAGCGACGCATGGTTTATTTTATTGGAAAATGCTAACTCCAGTATAGCTATTTTAAAACGAATAACTGAATTTTTAATTTAGCTAACAGACTTGTTAAAACATAAGCATCCAATACAAAAAATAAAAATACAAAACTAAGAGCTTAGGCAATTGGCATTACATAACAATACAACAAGGTATACCAGTAACCAGAATATAAAAGATTATCAATTTTAGTCAACTTATGAGTAAAAACGTAGTTTGGAGAGAGTATGAGCTTTGGTGTGCACCTACATTTGAATTCAGCAACCCCCAAATAGTCTATGTTAAATACCTAAAGTTATATGTGTAAGGGATTCTATAATAATGTTAATGTTAAGTAAGAACCTTGGGTAAGACGTGGACAAGAGCTAAAATCAGTCAACAGCCGTTAAATATAATATTGATTTAATAAGAGGAAAATATCAGTAAACATGCTTTATTCAGATAGCATTTTTTTTTAATGGGGCTCCATACAGACCATTTTTAAGGAGTTTTGTATTGGCAATATTTAAGAAAAAATTGGTTTAAAAAAATTTCGACCATGTCAATAAATTTACCGGTTAATTTGTATAAGCTTCAAGGTAATATTTTTAATTTAAATCATTTTGTCTATGAGTAAAAGCCATTTTAGTTAATATAACATACATTTTTTGTTCCATTGCACAGGCTTAACCAGTGATCCGATAAGTAATATAAAAACAGACCGATCCTAAGTAAACTTCATGACGAATTCAAATCTGTTTTAAGATTGCTTATTGGATCACTGGTTAGGCCTGTGCGATGGAATGAAAATGATGTGTTTTGGCTGAAAAAATGATCTGTTGGAGCCCCTTAAGTCAATAGTGTCTATGACACTAGAGTAGTGCGTTTTGGTTACTACGCTGCTTACTAATATTAAGCCAAATTTAAATTACAAAAAAACTTACAATATTATAAAACATTATCTGATCAATTTATTAAGGACTTGTTGAATAGGGCCCACGTTTTTTTTTTTACTAAAAAAACAATATATAAATAATTGATTGGCTTTATTTCAATATGAATATAATATTTAAATGTACGATGTACCTGATCAAACTCCATCGCCTTCTCTCTTAATTTTTCGACTTAAATATATAAATGTGATGCGTAGAAAATGATTTCAAAATAAAAATATATTGAAATTTGAATTATTGATATGATAACTGATAAGACGAATTCAGATAAGGATAACCTCTGAATCGTTAACAATAAACCATGGTGTTGCTTCCAAAGCCAATATAAAATAAAAGAGGGAATTAGGGATTGACTCGAGCGAATCACCCACCTAACACACAGGCGTATACCACAATGTATGCAGTTTATACACCTGCGAAGTGATCCGAGTGCATCCACTCGACGGGAGAGCACCTATCAACTTACCGGCAACCGGTTCCACTCCCTCAGACGTTTCTGGAAGCCACATCGTGGTCAACGGCGGTATGTGGTCAGAACGAGATACAATTACTCGGCCTAATTGGTCAATTATATCAATATTTTTTCTGTTAATTCCACGCAGACTCCACAGTCCAGGTCCGACGAATTGTGATTAACCGATTTCGTATTGCCGCCAAATTCGTTCATAAAAACCCGATTAATTATAAAACATTTTGTAGAGACAAGTCGATTTAAATGAGCTCTTTAATGGGTTGTCATGATTAATCATATAAAAATGAATACTACAGGGGTTGATTGAAACGTCCACCGCGAGAACGCCATCTGTGATGAACCGGTTTCACTATTTATAATTAGATTGATACGGTCGTTGATTAAGTAATCAATTAATTGTCCACTACATAAACAATGATACGGTCAATTAACGCACAATTAATAATAATTTAACAACCATCAATTAGCACATAAGTATTTTGAAAGAAAAAACATTAATTTTACCTACAGTAAGTTATATTAATATGTTAATTATTAACTAGTAACTACCTATTCTATGACAATATTTATGATAAAGGAAAAAAGTTCATACGGTCATATCCACCCACTAAATTTTTGAGATGGAACGTGAATTGTACCTTTGTCAACATATTATAATACAATATGTAATAGTATATTATAGTATTACATATTGACATTTGCCATACAAAGCACTAATAATATAATATAAACTGGTGAATGTAGACATAGGTAGCAGGTACACGAGTGACTGTCAATATTTACCTATTACCTAATATACACATTCCCAGTAACATAATATGTATATATTATATACAATTAGTATATGGCATTAAAAAGTTCTATTGACAAAAAAAGCTATTATTATATTTCATAATTTGTCAAATCATTACCACAGAGTAAATTACCTAGAAATTAGAATATTGTAAAAATAATGTTTTAGTAGATATTTGGTGGTTAATAGGTTTGGTACCAACTCATGATCGTTTAATTGTTAAGTTTAAGAATAAGTACACACTACATATAGGAAGTCTTTAGACTGGTACTCATAAATACACATTATATTCATTGTCGTGTCATTAATGATACTAACATTAATTATAGTCATTACTCATTGCACGTCATGGTTAAGATTATTAAAAATCGAATAACTGTGTGTTAAGTGTAAATAGTTAAATTAACAAGTGTTAGCCATATGTACAATTGTTATTAATGATAAATATGGAATACCATCTACCTACGCAGTGATAAATCCATATTACTAATATATTTAGAACTTCATTCTAATTTAAATTCATTCAACTATGTCCACAATTTTTTTTTACTAAAAATTGTGGTTATAATAAATAGTTTATAATAAGTAAAGCTAGTAGCGTAGCGGTACTGGAATAGTTAATTGAATACAATTACTTACATGTAATGACTAATGAACAAATATTTCAAAAGCCGGTATTTTGATAAGATGTTTATAGTATGTAGAACACTTACTTTTGTTCAAAATAGCGATTACCATAATTATATATCAAATACCGGTTAGGTTCAAATTTCGAATAGATACCTTCAACCAAAAACCCATTACGGATTATTCTTGTATTATTATTTAATCATTACTTAGTTTGAATAGACATAGGTTAGGTTTTATAACGATATATACGTATTCCATAATAAGAAATCGTCGCAGTTGCAATTCGTAATATTACATCCAAATAAATACATTTTTTTAAAAAATGGTAAGATGTAGAATTACTAGTGATCATTAAAAGAGCGACCAAAACGGGGCAATTGCCCCCTCCTCCTGAAAATTTTTTTTTTACTTTACTTATTAAAATGCATTTAGTTATACCTCTGTGTAAAATTATGACGAATCCTGCAACTGTATTTTATTTTTCGTTTGTTTAAAAAATATTAAATATATTCAATTTTGTTGACTTGATTAGTACGTACTAGAGTTCATTTAAAATACAGATAGCTCGTTTAAGTACACTTATAAGTATATAATATCATTCATATGAAACTGCTAATACCTGTTAGTTTTTAATAAAACTATACATTTTTATATTGAACGCAACACATAAATCAGTAACATGTCTGAGTTAAGGAAGGGTACTAAATATGTGAATATATAATATGATTTATAAACATACACACTAGATTATTCTTTTCAATACTTTTTTTTTTAAAAGAAAACTTTCTTTTGTACATTATTCACGTGTCCAACAACTATAACACAACATACACCACATTATTTAAATACCAAAACAAATTTAAATATAAATGTATATCATTATTATATGAATGTACAGACAGTGAATTTAATATTTTACAATCAATACAAAATGAATTATAATAGTTATACATGTAATGTATAAATGTCTACATAATTTTTTACACAAATTCTTTTCAAAATTTTAAATTTGGTTTTTACATTAAAAAAAAAATTGTGGTAATAAATAATAGTCAGTTAAATTATAATAAATTATTTACAAATAATATATACATATATTTTGTACACGTCTCCACTTTTGGTTTTCGTAGGTATTCAAATGAAGTGCGCTATAAAACAGCACAAGTTACTTTCAGTAATCAAATTTAATAAAATATGTTCAAATGTCTAGTAGAGTATAATACATAGATATATAAACAGTATATAATACAAGTTGGATGAATATAAAAATAAAAATAAATTACAAATTTTGGTATAAATAGAAAATTAATGACCTAGTTGGTAGAGGTGGAAAAAAAGAGACCATTATAAAAATAGGTATCAAGTTAGGACCAAAATTCGTCCATTAAACCGTACGAATGTCGTTTATGTAAAATATGTATGCACATTTATACATTGTTACTCTATGTCGATATCACAGCTGAAATTGTGTCGGACATTTTCACTGGGTATGTCATCTGATCCAGAGCCTTGTTCTTGAGGAGCGTTTAACATATTTAATGTTACATCAGCAGAGTTGCATTTTGCGCTCAGTATATTTGTAGTTATTGGTGATGCCAAGCTCAACTGTGGTCTTGACATTACTGAAGGATTGATTGCTCTGCTCTCATAAGATTTTCTTTTCAGAGTTGTATGTATTTGTGATCTGGAAAGTTTAATTCATGAATTGGAAGGCAGGCAAGGTGAGTAATACTACTTTTTTTTTTAAATTATTTTTTTAATACGATATCACAACAAAATACAATTAAAAATAATTTAACATTGAATATATAACACTACTATTTGAGTAATTATGAAAATATCACTCGTCTACTATAAAACTATTAATATAAAATACATAAATTTGATAAAAAGTAACAAAAATAATAAAAAAAACCATAAGTTTAGACTAAATTATTGAATATTATATAATTACACTGTGCGCTGTTTGATTTGGTCGCAGATTACAGCCAGGTCATCGGTAAATTTTTTTACAGCACTTTGTAGCATTTCAATATCATCATCAGTCCATTTACTAAAATAATAAAACAAGCTTGTTATGGAAGAATAATAAATTACTCGGTCCCTATAGCTATTTATCATTGTCCATTGTCTATTTGACAATGAATAAATAAAAGAACATTTGTCTTTCTTTGCAAGTAGCCGTTTCTAATATCTAGTTGAGTTTTAGCCAAGTCCCGAACAAATATTGGCCATCACTTTACTTTTAAAATATTTACAGACAATTGGCGGGAAATGAACAACTGAAAAATAATTGCACAAGTACGCTATTCTTATATGATTTGGTAAATATATAGCTATGATGAATATCAATTGTAACAGCTGTGGGAACCTTGACTTATGGTAAATATATATAGCACGTTTTGATTAAATTACCTGTTGGGTGTAGGGCTATCGTTTGTTGGTTGTAACGTTAATGTAAGTTCTCCTAACCTGCTAAAAGCTGTGCCTGCCGCACTGAATATTTCTCCGACCTAAAACACATTTACATTTATTGGTTTACACTGACTATATTATGTTTTCATCAAAGCAGACTAGGCACTGAAAAATGATTTGCTTAACATAATAATTTACTTTGGCTGCTGAACTCTGGTTGCTCATATTGTCGACGAGTAAGTTTACTTTTTTTATAAATTATACTGTTTGTACGACACTAAAAAGTACTTTTAAACAAAAAATTCATTTAAACAAATTATCGTACCAAAATGCCGATTTTTAGAAAGCCGATTATAATTATTTTTATTATTAAAATTTTAATGTTATGGAAACTCAAATGTTGTTGTTGTCTTGAAATATTATGATAACATTTTGTTTCGAAATGGAAGTTGTATATTCCGGGCAGGTTTGCTGAAGTTTGGAGGTAATTTCAGAAAAATAATTTTTATTTGTTAGTAGTCTTTTGATAATAATTTCACTAGTAAATTTATAGTATTATGGAAAACAAATTTAAATATATAATTATTATCATCCGGTTTGTTAATGTTTACCGGAAGTATTCGTTATTTTTGCGTAAACAACAAATATAAACAGTAATTCGATTGGCAACCGTGGCTACACTGGTTTCGGTATTTATTAATCATGCACGGCTCAACAATGTAGGTGGGGGAATAGTCTGGGCCGGCGGAACCGTGACAACAAAATAGGTATGTCGACAACAGCTTGTGATAATCACAAAATGGCTGCCGCCGTTCTGGGGCGGCCGTGTATTTATTACAGGAGTACAACCGCAGCAGCCATTTTACGAAAATTGATAACAAAAAATGTTAGTCTACCTGTTTGTTTTGCCATCAGCGGAACCCTCCTCTCTCTGTAGTCTGTACTGTACCCTCCTATGCGTTCCAATTCTGTCGGTGACGAAGTTTATTGAACGGAAATCGGAATTTGTTTATTATTATTATTATTATATACGATTTTGTTTTGCCGATATTGAATGCGTTTGTGTGACCGGTTTGGATATTGTGAAATGACAATTTGTGTTTGAACATTTTGAAGCCCAAACACTCGTAAGCGGCGCACGGCCAACGAGGTTAGTCAATGTACAGTATTATTTTTAAAGTCGTTCAAACGAAAAATATCGATTGCGGCACCCAAATGCCGTCCGGTCGTCCTAATGTTTGCCACACCCTGCAGCGTTTGCGTGTAATTTCACTGTATTGCCCGGTCCTATAGACTGTGTTACTCCATTAGGCTAATTGCTGATGAATTCTTGTCAAAATAAATAAAATACTTTTGGTATTTGGATTATTAGTCTGAGCACCCATTAACAATATTATAGTTTTTCTTGTAAATCACTATGTGAGTACTACCTGTCAAGTATCGCCATTTATTTCCGTCGTTCCGTTTGGACATCGTTGAATGGTTCTATAAAATCTGGTATATTAATTATTTGTTGGTTGTTAGCTTAAATTTACTTTTTTCTCAGCGTGTAGGAGGATGACTCTGTGAAGGTTAAATGTAATACTATTTTTTACAAACTGGTATTCATTGGGTAAAAAATAAATATGACTAATTGCTTTTAGTTAGGCCGCCCCTTAAATAAATAAAACTGTATACCTTGTAATTCTAATATGCTCTCATTGTGTATCAGTGTCAAATTACATTGACAATAATACTTGTGGGAACCATTGATTAAACTCCTAATTTTTTATTTTCGCATGCATTCTTTATTTTTATAAAAGTTTCTGTCCATTGACAGCAAAGTAGTATTTTGAATCATATAATTATTATTCTAATGATAGTGTTCTTAAATATATAATTTATTATAAATAAATAATTATATAATAATAAAAAATTAACCAAGGAGTCAGTACAGTTTAAATGATGTTTGTTAAATAATAAGTATTAGGTGGTCTATAATTTATTAAGTTTGAAATGCATTACAAATCATTTTGTAATCACAAATATATATATATATATATATATATATATCTTATGATGGCATTACATTAGCCACTGGCATGAAATCAAGTGGAGAAGTTCAAATATTTAAGTATCTTTTAGGAATTGCATAATAAATATTACAAGGAACTGTAGAGTAAATCGTTTTGTAAAACTATTTTTTTATTAACTAACATTTTCCATTTAGATTTCATAAGACAAATTTGTATTATTATGTTTTAAGTTTAATCTCATTTATCACATCTCGTAAACCAAAATCATTATTATTATATTTTTTTAATTAAAAATATTGAGTAAAATATGTTTCATAACAAAAAAATTACAATTGAATAATAATAATATAATCTTATTTACAATTATTAGATGTTTGATTATCTTATGAATGTAGTCCATAACCTTGTCCAAAGTCCGAATTTAATCTTGAAATGTTTTTGTATGTTAAAATGTTCAACGTTTACTGTTGTCATTATGCATACATTATATTCAGGGCTATGATCCAGTAATTAGTATATTCTTGAAAAAAGTAGTAGGTAAATAGTTATATTTTGAGTAAAAATCAAAAATAATTTTACAGTACATAAATATGGTATAAACATATATTAATAAGTTGTAATAAAACCATTTGTTCATTTTAGACAAACTCAAAATGGATCCATTAATACCAAAAGAGGTGAAAATCCTCGAAACAGCTGACGATATTCAAAATCGGCGTTTGCAAGTGCTTGGTCGTTACAGCGAATTCAAAGCTGAAGCTCGTTTGAAAAGAGAAAAACTTGAAGATTCCAGAAGGTTCCAAGTAAGTTAACTTATAGTTTTTCATTAGGCTTATTAGTTTTAATCAAATCATATTTTTTTAATTACATTAACTCATTCATTTTATTTTAGTATTTCAAACGAGATGCAGATGAACTTGAATCTTGGATACTTGAGAAAACGCAAGCCGCATCGGATGAGAGCTACAAAGATCCTACAAACTTACAGGTTAACTTCTAAAAAATTATCATTCTTATTTAAAAATATCCATTTTTTATTTCATTTATGATTTGTAATTATAATATTGACCTAATAATAATTTCTATTTACAGGCGAAAATACAAAAACATCAAGCTTTTGAAGCAGAGGTAGCAGCACACAGTAACGCTATTGTAGTGTTAGATAATACTGGAATGGGAATGATTAATCAAAATCACTTTGCTTCTTCGGAAATTAGACAGAGACTCGGTAATATATTTATATCCCATTTAATAAGTATAGCAATAAGTTATAAATACATTTAAATAAATAAAAGACTATCATATTTTTAATTTGCCAAAATTTGTGTTATTTTATATTTTTTTGTTAGCTTTGATGATTCAAATTATATTTTTCTCTTTATTTCTAGAACAATTACACAAGGATTGGGATTTGCTTTTGTCAAAATTGGCTGAAAAAGGAGTAAAATTGCAACAAGCTCTTGTTTTGGTTCAATTTTTGAGACAATGTGATGAAGTGATGTTTTGGATTAACGATAAGGTATTATTTATTAGTACTTCTTCAATAAAGTTTATTGTATTAATAGATAAATTTATTAAAAATTAAGAAAGCAACTATCCATATTTTAGTGTAAAATGAATTGTAATAATTTTGTATAATATTAGGAAACTTTTGTGACTACTGATGAATTTGGCGCTGATTTGGAACATGTAGAAGTATTGCAACGTAAATTTGATGAATTTCAAAAGGACATGACATCACAAGAGTATCGTGTAACTGAAGTAAATGATTTAGCATCCAAATTAGTATTGGAAGGACATCCTGAAAGAGAAACTATTCTAAAGAAAAAAGAAGTAATGTTTAGTATTCAAATTTTTCCTATAATATTTTATTTAATCGTCTTTCGTCATATCTCTAGGAATTAAATGAGGCATGGACTAGGCTTAAACAGTTAACATTAATGAGACAAGAACGATTGTTTGGAGCTCATGAGATCCAACGTTTCAATCGTGATGCTGATGAAACAGTTGCTTGGATATCTGAAAAAGATGGAATATTGTCTTCTGAAGATTACGGAAGAGACCTGGCTAGTGTTCAAACGCTTCAGGTAAATTATATTTGTTTAAAAATAATATACATAATTAATTTAAAATTGGATATATATATAATGAAATATTTTTGATCCAAGTTAAAGAATGTGTGTAACTGTTATTAATTTGTCTGTAGAGGAAGCACGAAGGAGTCGAGAGAGATCTTGCAGCATTAGAAGATAAAGTATCTATTTTGGGACAAGAAGCCGATCGTTTGTGTGGAATTCATGCTGACCATAGTTCGCAAATACAAAATAAACGCGGTGAAATCGTGGCTTACTGGGAGCATCTTACTGCCAAAGCAAAAGAACGTAGACAAAAATTGGATGAATCACACTTACTCCAGCGGTTCTTGGCCGATTATCGGGACTTGACTTCTTGGATAAATGACATGAAAGCTATAATCTATTCAGATGAATTAGCTAAGGATGTGGCTGGTGCCGAAGCTTTATTAGAACGACACCAAGAGCACAAGGTTAATAATAATAATAATAATAATCAATAGAATTTTCAAACATGTTTATTGTTGTCATTTATATTTTTGCTTGTATATTTTCATTAGGGAGAAATCGATGCTCGAGAAGATAGTTTCCGATTGACAATGGAGTCGGGCCAACATATTTTGAAGGGTGAAAATGTTCCATCCTTGGTGAATGAAAATTTGGGCAATTTAACTAGCGAAAAAAGTTCATTACTTGCGTTATGGGAAGAACGTCGCGTACTCTATGAACAGTGTATGGATTTGCAATTATTTTACCGCGACACAGAGCAAGCTGACACATGGATGGCTAAACAAGAGGTAATATATTTTAATGTAGTAAAATATTATGAACTCATTCCATTCAATGCCAAATTAATAAACACGTTCTTGGTTACGTTAATTTTTTTTCTCAAAATAAATGCGTTTATGTTCACTTACATAAAATGAGCGCATTTACTCGCTTTTATTTTTAAGATTTCCAATTTAAAATAAAACAAATATATGGCAGAACATTTTGTTATATACAGAAAAAAATAATAATTATTACAGATGAATGTTATTTGAGAGAACAAAAATCGTTCACAATAATTCAAAAACTGAATTTTGTATATTTTTCTTTTTAACAAATATTTTTACTGATAATTATTATGGCTCCTGTTAATACTATTAATTCTGACCTCTAAAATGAAATACTAAAATTTAAATTCAAATAGGCCTTCTTGTCCAATGAAGATCTGGGTGACTCGTTGGATAGCGTTGAAGCTCTAATTAAGAAACATGAAGATTTCGAAAAATCATTGGCTGCCCAAGAAGAAAAAATTAAAGCTCTCGATGAATTTGCTACAAAATTAATTGAAGGACAGCACTACGCCACTGAAGACGTTGCACAACGCCGAGAATCTGTAAGTATTTAATTTTTTTTTGAGCTTTTAGTTTAACCATCATAACTATATAATAATTATGTTTTGGTTTTAATTTAGCTTTTGGAAAGACGTACAGCATTACTCGAAAAATCATCGCAAAGACGTAGTGTACTCGAAGACTCGTATAGACTTCAACAATTTGAAAGAGATTGTGATGAAACTAAAGGATGGATAAACGAAAAACTTAAATTCGCCAATGATGACAGTTATCTTGTAAGTTTTTAAATTTTATTCTGTTACCTACTTCGTCTTCTTTAGGTTTTTCAGTCTTCTGACTAGTTATTGCCTTTCCCCAACTCTTCTCTATTCTTTGCTGTGTTCCATTTTTCATTTAATATCTACATACTTAGGCCTAATTCCTTACAGGTAGTGCAATAGGCCATACATATGTCTGAAATCCCTCAGTATTTCTGTGTGAAATGTTTATTTTTTTTTTATACCTAATTTTTAAATTAAAAAAAAACTAATACTTTTTTTTATTTTAGGATCCAACTAATCTGAACGGAAAGGTACAAAAACATCAAAACTTTGAACAAGAACTTAATGCTAACAAGTCTCGCATGGAAGAAATCACCTCTACTGGCCATGAACTCACTGAAGCCAAACACTATGCATTGAGTAAGTTATATTTTGTCTATGATTATAAAAATAACATAGTTTAATTATTGATTTGTATTTTACAGATCGTATTCAAACAAGAATGGATGAAATTGTTCATCTTTGGGAAAATTTGGTAACTGCCTCTGGACATAAAGGATCTAAATTACTTGAAGCTGCTCAGCAACAACAGTTTAATCGTACAGTTGAAGATATTGAATTGTGGTTGTCTGAACTCGAAGGACAATTGCTTAGTGAAGACTATGGAAAAGTAAATAAATACATTTTATAGTAATTTACGTGATACAAAACTTTTATCAATAATATTTTACTAAAATAATAAATAATGTTGTGTAATAATATTAATGCCTAATTATAATTAATTTTTAGGATTTAACGAGTGTTCAGAATTTGCAAAAGAAACATACTCTGTTGGAGGCTGATGTAGCTTCACATCAAGACAGAATTGAAGGTGTGAAAATTACGGCTGATCAGTTTGTCGATGGAGGTCATTTTGATGCCAACAATATACGCTCTAAACAGGTAATTCTCGTATTAAAAATTATATGTTAAAATACACTTGGAAAATAGCGAATCAATTTTATTGATTTTACTGAATAAATAAGGCGGCGTTGTGTGATCGCTATTCATCATTGAAACGTCCAATGGAAACTCGTAGACAACGTTTAGCTGACTCGCTGCTTGCACAGCAATTATTCAGAGACATTGAAGACGAAGAAGCTTGGATTCGTGAAAAAGAGCCAGTTGCAGCGTCAACCAATCGAGGTACGATGATAATAATTGAAAACTATAATATAATTTAAACTTATAAATAATGTTTTTTATATTACAATCCTATTTAAGGACGTGATTTGATCGGTGTACAAAACTTGATGAAGAAACACCAAGCAGTTGTAGCTGAAATCAATAACCATGAATCCCGCATTGTTAGTGTAACTCAGTCGGGTCAAAAAATGGTCGATGACAAACATTTTGCCACTGACGACATCAAACAACGTTTGGCTAATCTAAACAAACATTGGAATCATCTCAAAGACAAAGCACTCCAGGTATGAGTTGATTGATTATAAGTATTATAAATGTTTATGTATTTTTAAAAAAAATTGTGTGGTTTATTTCAGCGTAAACAAGACTTGGAAGATTCTCTTCAAGCGCATCAGTATTTTGCTGACGCTAACGAAGCCGAATCATGGGTAAAGGAAAAGGAACCAATGGTTTTAAGTCAAGATTACGGAAGAGATGAAGATTCGTCCGAAGCGTTGTTAAAAAAGCACGAAGCATTGTTGTCAGATCTGGAAGCATTTAAAACAACAATTGAATCACTTTCTGAACAAGCTGCTGTTTGTCGGGTACTACAAACAACATTAATGTTGCATCTAAAAATTATTTAGCATAATTATAATGATTTATATTATGTGTTTTCTTTAGCAACAAGAAACTCCTGTTGTTGATGTAAGTGGAAAAGAATGTGTTATGGCTCTGTTCGATTACACTGAAAAGTCTCCGAGAGAAGTTTCGATGAAGAAAGGCGATGTTTTGATTTTGTTAAATTCCAATAATAAGGTATACGTCATCACTTTATTGTTGTTGTAACTGTATTACAAAGTTTAACTCTGTACTTACTGTTTTTAATATTTTGGTTTTTATCAGGAATGGTGGAAGGTTGAAGTGAACGATCGCCAAGGATTTGTCCCCGCTCCGTATGTGAAGCGTCTTGAAGTGACTGGTTTGAGTGCGTCCCAACAACATTTAGCTTCCGGAGGATCTATTGCAGCTAGACATGCACAAATTGAAGCTCAGTACACGAGATTATTGAACTTGGCTAAAGAACGTCAGACTAAACTTGCAGAGACCGTCAAAGCCTATGTATTGGTTAGAGAAGCTGCCGAATTAGCTACATGGATCAAAGACAAGGTTTGTACTGGTATATTGTATTGGCAAATGCAACTAATGTTTAATGTTTACTATAGTTCTTGTCTGGTATTTAATCTTTGTAACTTACATAGGAAAATCATGCGCAAGTGCAAGATGTCGGTGAAGATTTGGAACAAGTAGAAGTGATGCAAAAGAAATTCGACGACTTCCAATCAGATTTGAAGGCCAATGAAGTGCGTTTAGCTGAAATGAATGAAATCGCTATGCAACTGATGAGTTTGGGTCAAACGGAAGCTGCATTGAAAATCAATACACAAATTCAGGTTGGTACCATTTCTTCTTCTTCACATGAAATAGCTTTTATTTTCGTGTTTATGCTTGCATAAAGGATTTGAATGAAAAATGGACGTCTCTCCAACAACTTACACAAGCAAGAGCTACTCAGTTAGGTTCAGCGCACGAAGTACAAAGATTCCATAGGGACGTCGATGAAACACGTGACTGGATTCGGGAGAAAGATGACGCCCTTAACAACGATGACCTTGGCAAGGATTTGCGTAGCGTGCAAGCACTGCAACGTAAGCATGAAGGTCTGGAACGTGATCTGGCTGCTTTACAAGATAAGGTAATCAAACATGTTCTGTTAGTTATATCTTTGTATAATTTTCATATTTGTGGCTGATTTATTAGATACGTCAATTGGACGAAACTGCCAATCGCTTGATGAATACTCATCCCGAGTCACGAGACAATACTTACATGAAGCAAAGAGAAATCAATGAGGAATGGACACAGTTGACAGCTAAAGCAAATTCAAGAAAAGAAAAACTTTTGGACTCTTACGATCTGCAAAGATTTTTATCTGACTACCGTGATTTGATGTCATGGATCAACTCGATGATGGGTTTGGTTTCTAGTGATGATTTAGCCTCCGATGTTACCGGTGCCGAGGCATTGTTGGAACGACACCAGGTAAATTATTTGTTTACTTGTTGATATTTTACAGCTAATAAGCTGTAAGTAATTTTTTATTTTTTGAAAGCATAAGTCTTGCCAATTATGGTAAAATCTATTTGTATGTTAAAAAATATTTACACATTATTTTCTCCTATGGTTTTTGTAGAGTTTGAGAGCAGAAATAGACTATCGTTATGGTATAGCTCAGGTATAGAAAGAAGTATTGGTTTTTGTTTAAACGTCATTACAAACTTGCACTACATTGACACTATTAAATATTTTTTTAAAACATTTTTTGTATTTTGTTTTCACATTCTAAAAACAAATTAATATTTACTTTAACACCAGAATTTTTTTTTGACGTCTTCAATAATAAGTTGTGATTTTAAAATTAAAATAATAGGTTATTATTTCTACACTTGTACATACACAATCAAATAATATGTATAGATTTAATAGTAAGATAAACTAGTACAGTGGGGTCGAGGCATAGTGGGATCAGGGAAGTCACAGGTTTTCAGGAATTATTATAGTTGAAAGTGATGCAATCGCTTTGATGTGAATTGGTGAATAATAGAATTATTAAATATAAATAAAAACATGAAAGTGTATTTAAAACTGTATTTCTAGTATTAGGGTGAATACGATTAAGGTTGTCTTAGAATCTTGATCTGTCTTTCCTAATAACTCGTTGCCGTTGTTACCAATAGGCAAATTAACAACATAATGAAGAAATGTTTTATTGTTCTGTTAATAAATTCTATCAACCTGAAAATTTAATGCTCAAGAGTTATTGTTTGTTTTTCTTTATTAAAAATAAAGTTTTGACTACAGATTTTAAAGAAATTGTTTAGGCTACAACTCCACTATAGACCTACCTTTTGTATTATTTTCAGACCTTGAGTCCTAAAATTACACTTGAAAAAGGGAAATAAAGGAAAACTTTCCTGCCCTTCTAGGTGAAAGGGTTTTTAATATTATTTTTTGGTTTGTCAACATTTTATTCATAGTACTTAATTAAAAGAGTATTGTATTCCATACAAATTTGGAACTAATTTGATTGTTTTTTAAAAATTTATAGTGTTCCATTGTTGTTTTAAGTTTAAAAATAAATTACTGTTTGGGTGTTTTAAAATCAAATCTAGGCCCTAAAAACATAGTACTACCATTATTAACTCATATAAATTGAATTTTTTTTTATACATAGAAATAATTTAACACATACAGTATGTTGCAGCTCTTTTGTGAATGTCTATTGTTAATACTATGTTAAATGGTTTTTGTAAAAAATGTGTATACTAATAAAATATTATCACTGCAAAACTTAATTTTATAATTTTGTTTGGATTTTGTAACTAATACTAGCAATACTTTTGTAAGCATTTGCACAGATAAACATTTTCTGTGTAATTAGTTACTTTTAATATTCTTATTCACTTTTTATTCACATTATTATTTTAGATACGACATATTTGTATGATTTGTTCAAACTAATGTTTAAATGTCTTATTAAAGGAACATCGTACAGAAATTGATGCTCGCACTGGAACTTTCCAAACATTTGAAATGTTTGGACAACAGTTGCTTCAATCCAATCATTATGCAAGTGTAGAAATTCAAGAAAAACTGGAAAGTATGACTGAAGCGAGACAAGAATTAGAAGAGTATGTTAGATATTTATTATTAAATGATAATAATTTCTTTGTTTTAGTTTCAGTGTTTTGTGATCTTATGTTAACAATTTTTTTTTAGGGCCTGGATAAATCGAAGAGTGCAATTGGATCAATGTTTGGAACTGCAATTGTTCTATCGTGACTGTGAACAAGCTGAAAACTGGATGTCTGCTCGTGAAGCATTCCTTGCATCGGAGGAAGTTGATTCCAAAGGAGATAATGTAGAAGCGCTGATTAAAAAACATGAAGATTTTGATAAAGCAATTAATGCACATGTATGTATAGCTACACCAAAAAATAAATCTTTTTACATCTTTCATGTTTTTTATTATTAGGAAGAAAAAATAGCCGCATTGCAAACATTAGCCGACCAACTGATGGCTGCCCAACACTATGCTGCCACTCCGATTGACGAAAAGAGACAACAAGTTTTGAACAGATGGCGTCATTTGAAGGAAGCTTTAATTGAAAAGCGATCCAAACTGGGTGAATCACAAACTTTGCAACAATTCAGCAGAGATGCCGATGAAATCGAAAACTGGATTGCTGAAAAACTTCAATTGGCCACCGAGGAAAGTTACAAGGACCCCGCTAATATTCAGTCCAAGCACCAAAAGCATCAGGCATTTGAAGCCGAGCTGGCGGCCAATGCTGATCGTATTCAAAGTGTACTTGGCATGGGACAAAATTTGATCGATAAGCGTCAATGTGCCGGATCTGAAGAACCAGTTCAGGTAATTATAAATTCAAGTTAAAACAATTTTTTGATTATTTTTTTTATATGTATATATTTATAATTTTATGTTATTTTCAAAAATACAGTCAAGATTAGTATCAATTGCTGATCAATGGGAATTCTTGACACAAAAAACTACCGAAAAATCATTGAAACTCAAAGAAGCAAATAAACAACGGACATACATTGCAGCTGTTAAGGATTTGGACTTCTGGTTGGGCGAAGTGGAATCCCTTCTAACTTCAGAAGACTCGGGAAAAGATTTGGCGTCTGTTCAGAATCTAATTAAAAAACATCAACTAGTTGAAGCTGATATCCAAGCTCACGAAGATCGTATACGAGGTAGTACATTTGATTTTTTATTTTTATGAAATATAAGATTGAAAGAACAAAAAAATTTACTTTTTTTTCTGACAATTTTCGATATTGATTGATCAAATTCAAATACTGAAATATTTTATTGTTGATATATTTCTTACTCTGATATTGCGATTAAAAATTGGAAAATTTCATTAATATTGTTATTTAATAAGTTGTCGTTAAAAGCTCCTAAATCATTTTGAAATAATTTGTATTTTAGATATGAACGGACAAGCTGATTCCTTAATTGAAAGTGGTCAATTTGAGGCTGGAAGCATTCAAGAACGTCGTAGTTCTATCAATGAAAGGTACGAGAGGATCAGAAATTTGGCAGCACACCGTCAAGCACGTCTAAATGAAGCCAATACTCTACATCAATTCTTCAGGGACATTGCAGATGAGGAATCTTGGATAAAGTCAGTAAAAACGATAATTAATAACTTTCAAAGTACACATATTTACATGAGCAATTTAAATTTGTATACCATTAGAGAGAAAAAGTTGTTAGTGGGCTCTGACGATTATGGTCGGGACTTAACTGGCGTTCAAAACTTAAAAAAGAAACACAAGCGTCTTGAAGCAGAATTGGCGTCCCACGAACCAGCTATTCAGTCGGTGCAAGAAGCCGGTGAAAAACTGATGGACGTTTCCAATTTAGGTGTTCCAGAAATTGAACAAGTAAGAGGAAATTATATTGACTAAATAAGATAGATTAATTAACAAACTTATGTATGTTTAAAGCGATTGAAATTGCTGAACCAAGCCTGGGATGAACTGAAACAAATGGCGTCGACAAGAGGCAAAAAGTTGGATGAATCATTGACATATCAACAGTTCTTGGCTAAAGTTGAAGAAGAAGAAGCATGGATCAGGTAAACATATTTATTTAGACTAATTGCTTAAATTGGTGTCCAGGTGTCTAATTTTTTGTTTTTTATTTCAAGTGAAAAACACCAGTTGCTATCGGTAGAAGACTTTGGTGATACAATGGCTGCTGTTCAAGGTCTTTTAAAAAAACACGACGCATTTGAAACTGACTTTGCCGTTCATCGTGATCGATGTGAAGAGATCAGCCACGGTGGTATGGATCTTGCCGATTCCAAAAACCATCATGCGGACAGCATTATGCAGCGTTGCCAACAACTCCAGGTGAAGAAGCAATTATTTTACACTCGTTAAAGCTTACAAAATGACAATACAATATTTATTTTTATTAGATTAAGTTGGACAATTTATCCGCTTTGGCCGCCAAACGCAAGTCTAAGCTGATGGACAACTCGGCATACTTGCAGTTCATGTGGAAAGCTGATGTGGTTGAGTCATGGATTGCCGACAAAGAAACGCACGTTCGATCCGAAGAATACGGAAGAGATTTGTCTACTGTCCAGACTTTACTGACTAAACAAGAGACATTTGACGCAGGTATGAGCAAATATAAAACAACATATATGCTTCTTACAATAACAAATTATATGAATTAAAACCCAAACTTAAATTGTTATTAGGATTACACGCTTTTGAACATGAGGGAATACAGAATATCACTGCTCTTAAAGATCAACTGATTGCAGCCAATCACGACCAATCTGAAGCAATATTGAAACGACACAATGATGTTATTACAAGGTAATATATTATTTAAACTCGAGTCTTCTCATTAGAATAACTATAAATTACAATTTTTTTTAGAAAATAGCGTGAAATATTTATTACTTTATATTTTTAGATGGCAAAAATTGTTGGGTGATTCAGATGGTCGCAAACAACAATTGTTGCGCATGCAAAACCAATTCCGTCAAATCGAGGAACTTTACTTGACGTTTGCTAAGAAAGCATCTGCATTCAATTCATGGTTTGAAAACGCCGAAGAAGATTTGACAGATCCAGTACGATGTAATTCTATTGAAGAAATAAGAGCTCTACGTGAAGCACACGCACAATTCCAAGTTAGTGACATGCCATACACTGGATCAGTCTTAATTGTTTTCTTTGGTGTTTTATTAAAAAATCTTTTATAGGCTTCTTTGACGTCGGCTCAAGCAGACTTTGAAGCCTTGGCTGCATTGGACCATCAAATCAAAAGTTTCAACGTTGGCCCTAATCCGTACACGTGGTTTACAATGGAAGCTTTGGAAGACACATGGAGAAACCTACAGAAAATCATTAAAGAGCGAGACATTGAATTGACAAAGGAAGCGCAAAGACAAGATGAAAACGATACATTGAGAAAAGAATTCGCCAAACATGCCAACACATTCCATCAATGGCTAACTGAAACTAGGTAATTGTGAATTTTATTTTATTCACTATTAATTTTGCTGTATTAATGTACTTATCAATTTTTTTTTTTAAGAACATCTATGATGGAAGGTTCTGGATCGTTAGAACAACAACTTGAAGCTATTAAAGTAAGTTTTAATATTTGTAATAAGTATTAAACTTTTTGTATTAATTAAATTTATTGTTTTTAATATCAGCGAAAGGCAACTGAAGTTCGCTCTCGTCGATCAGATTTGAAGAAAATCGAAGACCTTGGGGCTATTCTTGAAGAGCATTTGATTTTGGACAATAGATACACTGAACACAGTACCGTGGGTCTAGCGCAGCAGTGGGATCAATTGGACCAACTGGGCATGAGAATGCAACACAACCTCGAGCAACAAATTCAGGCGAGAAATCAATCGGGCGTCAGCGAAGATGCCCTGAAAGAATTCTCGATGATGTTCAAACACTTTGACAAAGATCGTTCTGGTCGACTCGATAAAACAGAATTTAAATCATGTCTCAGAGCTCTCGGCTACGATCTACCGATGGTTGAAGAAGGACAACCTGACCCCGAATTCGAGGCCATCCTTGGTATGCTATTTTTGCAGCAAATAATGAAACCTACTACAAATTTTCTACGTTTTTTTTTGGTATTATAAATATAAATCATGACTACTTGAAATTTTTTAGATGTCGTCGATCCTAATCGTGACGGTTATGTATCGCTACAAGAATACATGGCGTTCATGATCAGCAAAGAAACTGAAAACGTCCAGAGTTCAGAAGAAATCGAAAACGCTTTCAGAGCCATTACAGCGGGCGATCGACCATATGTCACCAAAGAAGAACTATACGCTGTAAGTATAACGACAAAAGAAAATAATATGTTAACTGTTTTTCATCAATATTAACCAATGACACATTTTTTAAAATTAAATAATGTTTTTATTTTCAGAACCTTACTAAAGATATGGCCGACTATTGTGTCAATCGTATGAAACCATTCGTCGATGCTAAAACCGAAAGGCCAATTACTGGCGCACTAGATTATATTGAGTTTACTAAAACACTTTTCCAAAATTAAATAAATCATCATTATACACGATGAAACATTTAAAAAACGCACGCAGCTACATCAGAGTTTTTAGAAATATATTTATTTATGTATACCTAACTAATTATTAGCTTAATAACTATAAATTATTTATTTGTGAGCAATATAAGTTTAACTTTCATGTTTGAATTTCACACGTTAATTGATAAAAAAAGTTTTATTTTTTATTTGAGTGTTAAACATTTTTATAAATGTGGGTAGATTTTTTTCCAAAATGTATTTTTGTGTTAAAACATTTTATTTTGCTTTGAAATTTAACTACCTATGTGTATTAACAACATTTTTATTTTATTTATTTTTATTTTAACAAATATTTAAGAGAATTTTATTATTATATTTATTGAATCGCTTGTGCTTTGTGAGTTTTAGCGATTTTGTTTTTATTTATTTTTCACAATAAAACTCGTCAAGTATAATCACAGTGGAAATAGATTTTTTTTAATTATCTCATCAACCAATATAAATTTGTTTACAAATTTGGTACAATTTTACCAAAAAATGGTTACAATTAATTTCTAATCTAATATTTAAGTAAAATACAAAAAAGTGACATAAACAGAACCAAAACAGCACACAACTAAATACATATTTAAACATCGAGATTGTTTTTTTTATAAACTGCATACTTAACTGACACAATTAATAACATGAAAAAAAATTTCCAAAATGTGTAGTATCCGTTAATTATATGAAATTTAAAATGACGTTACTATTTTGTTCGAGCTAGATTTTTTCAAAAATTCTATCACATGTCGCGCCAAGTTATTGAAAATCGTAGCCTGTTAAAATATATAATTAAATATTAATCAGGTTTGAAAAGTGAACTTAAACAAAGAAAAAGAAGAGAAATGTTACTTGTGATGATTCAGGGTGAGATATAACAACGGGCTGACCGGTATCGCATCCTTCAGTTATAGATTGTTCCATTGGAATGGAAAATAATGAATTAATTCCTGTAAAAAAAAAAACAAACTTTAAAAATAATCAAACGGATTGTAAAATAACCTTTAATACCTTCATTAGTTGCTACTTCTTGGATGGTGTTGCCAAATATTTGGTTTATGTGAGAACAATTTGAGCATTTTACACCACTCATATTTTGCACCAGCCCGACAATAGGTAAGTTTAATTTTTTGAACATTGTTATACCTCTTTTGGTTACGTCGACTGCAGCTTTTTGACCGGTAGTGACGATCACAACACCTATACAGCAAATGTCTACTACAACAGGGTTCGAGTGTATTCTATTAAATATTAATATTACCGTCAATTGGTAAATTTTGGGCCAGGGACAGATGCGTATCTCCAGTTCCGGGTGGTGTGTCCACAATCAAATAGTCTGTTCTGTCCCAGTTAACGCCTCTGATCAATTTGTCAATAGCGGCCATTACCATCAGCCCTCTCCAGATTGCTGCCGAGTTATTCGTCATCAGGTTACCCATGGACATACTGCAACTAGCAAAATTAGATTCATTCCTTACATGGTCGTTCAAACAATTTACCATTTCACGCCGTAGTTGACGAGAGGAACCATTAAGTTATCTATAAATTAAAAAAATAGGATCGAATAATTAAAATATTCTAGGGCAACCATTGAACAATTCAATAAATGTAAACAAACCGTCATCGAGTAGTGGCGTTTCATGTAAATTCATCATAAGAGGTACTGATGGACCAAAAACGTCCGCATCTAATAAACCGACTTCTTTTTCGGGTGCTATACTTTTTAGAGCCGTCGCTAAGTTTACTGAACAAAACCCAAAGCACACATAGAGAATGCAGTTGAAATGAAATAGACAAAAGTCTCACTTACCGGAAACTGTCGACTTGCCAACACCTCCTTTACCGGACGCCACTAGAATAATATGACCTACTCCTTTGATTGGCTTCTTTTTCGGTAGCTTTTTTCTCATTAGCTCCTCTTGTTTTTCTGTCAGTCGAGACAAATTTCTGACGAGTAGCCATCTCAAATGGTTGTTCTGTAAAATATGAATTAGATAAGTAATAACATCAATTTTATGTTTGTTATCAAATGCAACAATATTTTTTCTGACTTTTAACACAAAGTTACTACTGCAGCTGTTGTTTAACGTACAACTTAGACTTCTTTTCAACATAATAGTTTAATTTCTATCACAATGGACGCATTAATAACACGAGTGCCTACCACAGTGTGAAGCATTAATTAGATTTGGTAAAATATAAATAACACAAAACCAATTACTATTTTATTTCGGAACTTTAAATATTAAAGAATTTTATTTTAAATAAATAAAAAGAGTTTCAATACGGTATGCCGGCAAATAAAAATGATAACATATTATCAAACATAAACACGTTTTGAGATGAGATCACAGAATAACTAGAAGGGAAACTTCAAAAAAAAAAATACATGGGTTCTTATGAGCTGCCGAAAAAGCCCGTCTGTCATAAGATTTATGAGGCTGGGAGAGCCAGACTATAGTCTATAATAGATGGATAATATAATAATTATAGGTAATTACAAACAAAAAATTATGATAATTGTACATAATCCCCAAAAACAAAACGTCGGAGACTTATCAGTCTCGGTCTGGGCTTCCCTTCTGGTTATTCAGTGATAAGATTACGATTTATCATTATCTAAAGAGGACATCATCTCCTATTTATTAAAGAGTTGGGTGTAGGCAATTTTTTAAAGGTAAAACTGTAATGTGTAGTTATTAGTTCAATAATTAGGACTTTTTTTTTTTTGGTAGTTAATTTATTTTTGGACTATATCAACATCCTTGAAAGTGATTTAAAAAATTCCAAAAAAGGGGAAAATAACACTTTGACCGAAGTAAATTTCTAGACTGATATGTGTAAGTGAATCAACTATTAATCAATTAGTCAACCCCTAGTCTAATCTAATCGAATTCATCCTAATACGAAAAATACAAATGACTTGTGTTAATCATTAATACTATTTATTTTTGTTATTCAAGTAAATCAGTTTTGATTTTAGATGATTTCAAGTTAAATATATGAATACAAATATAGTTAAAAAAAAAATGTTTTAATACTTTATTAATTATTTGTTTAGTCTTTAACATAGGTACAAATACCGAGTTGAAATTGTTTTTAGTGTTAATTATTGATAAAAATCATCATATACAATTGTTGTAGTATAGAACCTTTTTTTTTATTGAATTTATTATTATCCGAAGTGTGTCACAAAAATACATGTGCAATTTTAAAATCCTACTGCAAATATGGCTTTTGCAGTAAACACCTACGTTCTAGATCTTATAACCCGAATCGTTGTTTACCGGTTCGAATATGAAGAAGTGTGCTATGTACATAAAAAACAACTGGGTTTCGAGAAAAACAAGTTGCTAAGCATAAACAAATTTCCTAAATCGAAACATATATTATACTTATAGTTAAAAGTCATCATAGAACTAGGTCGCAGTATAGAAACTTGTTTTTATTTATGTATTATTTTTTGAAATAATATTGAAATACATATTTCCCAAATGTTATTCAGTGTACAAGTACACGTCATCAGTTTCGCACAAGAGGACAACAATAATTAAAGACATGGTTTCGAGTTGTAGTTATCAGGTATCGATACTTTTGTGTTTATTTTTGTTTTCATCGATACATTTTTCGGAATCGAACGATGAATCCTTAATTGACTTGTTCAAAGTGTCGCCGAACCTGAAAAAGTTAAGCAACGTTGGCGTTTTGTGGGACAACGAGGTGACTTCTCTGAGCGAGATACTTGGACCAAAAGTAGACGAATGGGAAGTCAGAGAAGACAATGCCGAACAAATTGCTCAAATAACATCCATCGCATTGGCTTGTAATAACTCTAAAATAATTACACGGCTGGTTGATAAATCCAGCGAATTTCTTTCCGCATTCGCGCATTTCACATTAGGCCATAAAGTGCAATTTCCAAATTTAGACGACTACAGAAACGCCGTCTTAGATATATTGTCTTTGACGTTGTTTTACTCGAAACGTTTGCGGGTGGTCGTAAACAAGACGTTTTTTATGGCGGCACTGGCGACCCATATTTTTTTCAACAAAACTCTACCTTTTGAACTATCGTCTAACTTGGCTGTAGTCACTACAGAGTTTAGTCGCAGGAGTTCGTACATAGAATATTCCTTAGAATTGTTTACGACGGAGTTTTGCGTCCCTTCCACATACAAGAGAAGCGACTTGACGATTGTAAGACAATGTTTTGCTTCCGGTAAACACGGCCAAGATGGTTCGACCGAGTGCGCGAAACCCACGCTGGAACCAAACTTGTACGACGAAGCGTTGCGTTTGTCGGACTTGGAATCTGCCGAAAAAGAATATAACCGCCATTTATTTAGCATTGACAGCTTAATGTTGTCGGAATTAATGGAAACCGAACTGATACAAGGTAAATATTCGTCGCGCATTAAACATCTTCATGTTGATTTTTACGACAAGCATATAAATCTCGATACCCTTAAGGAACACGTTGTTAGCGGGTATAATTCTGAAAATATCGCGAAATACCAATCCCTAATGATCGACTGTATAGGCGCTATAGCGTTATATTTGATATGGAATATTATCCTAGCAAATCAAATTTCGGCAACGACAAGCCACGAATGTCGAGTACATGACGCTATAGACAACGCGTTGAGTGCATTAGAGAGTTTAAGTTCTAAAGGAAATTTGAGATGGGCGTTGAAAAATATTGAATTTAAACAAATGAGAAAAAATAGCCAACGAGGTATGCTGAAAGAAATCGGTGTTTTTTTTAAACATTCAAATATCGAACACAAATCAGTGGATAAATTATTCCAGATCGGGGCGATCGTTAATAACTCTGTTGAATTTATTAAGATATTGAATAATTTTGTCAAAAATATTAAACAGTTCAAACAATTATTATTCGTTGCAACAGAAATTGGCAACGAACCGTATGATATGCCTTTCGAAGGTCGTTTTCAATTTTTCGAACCAAATGTTGAATTGCGCTCGTCAGCCGGCAGTCTATCGTCGTCGAACTTCCAAATTTACCATTTTTCGTTGTTTATGACTAAACACTTTATGCTAAGCGATGTCTTATTAATGGAATGTGAGCAATTGGCGGAGGAAACATGGAACTCGGATAAAACTCAAGTAGTCGAATGCTTTTCTTCTATAGAAAATTACAGTATCAAATCGATCAAACCGATTTTCAAATTGTTTTATGGCGATTTAATTAATTCGTTTTTGGTGCACCCCGTTGTTGTTGGAAGGTACCACGAAATATTTGAGGCCATGTATTCTCTGCTGTTGTATCTGAACAATTCCGGGTTGTACAATGTTTTCGATAGCAAAGATTCCAGTGCGTCCGGCATAGAGCATATACGCGTTAAAGTCAATAACCTGTTGGGGTTCAATCTAGTGATAGGCAACCTATTTAAAAGCTATATCAAACGACGTTATGTAACCCCAGATTTCGAGTTAGTCATCCATTTGGACTGTAGAAAAGAGAGCAACCGTCTTATAATCGTCGATTACATAGTTGGAAAAATTAAACTTAATCTTGATGATTATAATTATTTTTTCAACAAGCACCGCGGCAAGTTATTTGATAACGTTGGCGAATCGGACGACAAAGGCATATGGACTGACGTTGGCGAATACGGTGACGATTGCGTTAGCAAAGGCTTTGGCGGAATTGACGTAGCCGACTGCGGCAACCATGACGATGACGAATGTAACTCCGACGTTGATTGTGACTTTAATGACACTGACCCCGGCGTTAATGGTGCGGTCCACGAGGTTAACGTCGCTAACCCCGACGTTAATGTCGCTGACGATACCGTCAATGGCAACGACGATAAGAAAATATCTGATGACAATTCTAATGCCGTTAAAAAAAACGAGTGCCATGATCATCATGATGAATGTGCCGTTAACGTCGCTAACCCCGACGTTAATGTCGCTGACGATACCGTCAATGGCAACGACGATAAGAAAATATGTGATGACAACTCTAATGTTGTTAAAAAAAACGAGTGTCATTATCTTCAAGGCGAATGTGATGACAGCGAAAAGTGCAATGACGATGACGAATGCAGTGACGGTTGGGATACCGACTTTGAATTCGATAGTGAGAGTGAGTTTGGAAGCGAAAATGGAAGTTCTAAAGACGGTGGAAAACTTGAGCGTTTTTCAAATTTAGTCGACTATGAATTCCTCGAGCTCGGTTCGTTTTTGTACGAAGACATTGTTAATAATATCGACGTTTACGGTTATTATTGTACGTTGATCAACGAAGTCAGTGTGGCCTGGGTCGACGGTAGGTATTGGGCCGTAAAAACATTGTACGAAATGGTTAAACAGAAAATGCATTCTCATCACGTTTACTATTTTACTAAAGCAATACAGAGAGTACTTGTTTTTACAGTGTCCGAAAAGGTCAAAGATATCGTTAAAATCATAAAAAAAACCGAACACATGACGATTAGTGTAGATGATATGATTTCTATTGTGAAATCGTTAGACACCATTCGGATGCTAAAGCACGATAGCTTTTATGGTTACACCGCCATGGTAAAGTATTACCTGTCAAAAATAAACTATCACAAAAATGATATGGATTCGTGCGATCTTCTTATTGACATTATCGAGAAACAGCAAGACGAGTTAGGTGTTCAATTGCCAAGCGTAGCGTCATCAAGAACTGAAGAATTTAATACAAGACACAGTCTACACGAAAGTGTTGTACATTTTAATATTTTTACTATGCATATAGACAACATTGAAAAGCAGTTTTCCCCTGGTTTTATTACAGAATGGAAAAACCTAGGTGACCGCACTTTTGTATAATTTTGATTTATTTGAATTGGGTTATTATTATATTATATTACTATACAATTTTGGAGCACCTGCGTTATTTGATATTGCACTATTGACATTCCTTTTTTAAAATTATATTTGGGGCTATTTGATTGAACATAAATCGATTAAAATTTAAATGTGATTGGGTTGCATCTAATTAACCAACTTACTTCGAGTTGTATCTCTAATACGAAAGTTTTTATTACAATTTATGTTTTTTCCTACTCATGTTATACCTACTATTATTATTTAAGATAGTGTTACATATTGTGTTATACAATCATTATATTTATTTGAAATCTTAAGTCATGATTTTTTATTTTTACACTATATTTTAATATTTTTACGAATAACCACTTTTTTAAGTTTTGTACGTTTAAATTTAACAAGACGTACGATAAAACTGGAAGACTATGTTTTATATTCGTTATTAATAGTATTCATTTA